GCATAATGGTACATAGCTGGCATACTGGTTGTGTCGGAATAAATATTACAAACTTGTAGAGCGTGCAGAGGAATCCAAGACGAACACTTTTTGTCAATGAATATGTGGTCAGATATTTCATTTAGCTACGTTATATATGTGATATTTCCTCTTGATAGACAGGCACCTAATGAGGCGCCTGTCCAAAAGAGTTCCGCTGGCCCTAAAAGCAGGCCCTAAGGGCCGCCTTTCCTCTGGCTCTAAGGGCCGTAGCCCTAAAAGATTATCCGACAAGAAGAGTTACAAACACACTTTTTTAATTTAATTTTAATTCGTAACAGTTATGAACAGAACACGTAAGTTCCAAGCCGAGAATTAAAGAACCACATTACTTTGTGTTTAATGTTTTCTGTGTAGAATTGCATAGTAGAAACTATTTTTAAATCAGTGCCAAGCGTCGGCGACGCCACATTCAGATAGTTAAAAAATATTTCAAAGATGTTAATGGGATGTTCGAACTGAAATTCCTTTTCTAAATTACTTTCAGGACTCGCCCCTGTTACTACAGACCCACGAGTCCATTCTAGCTCAGCGCCCACCTCACTCGTGGCATAGGACCAGCGCATAGGGCCAACCCGTTGTCATGTGACACGCGATCTGCGCGGGGTAGACGTAGTTTTCGCTAGTCGCCACAAAGCGCAGCACAGAAGGGCCGCTGCAAAAATTGTATTTTTGTCGAAATAAACTATTACTATTTAGAGCATTAATAGTTTTGCATTAAAAAAAATTGTTTGTTTCAGGACCACAGTCTTTAAGACGATTTGACCAGTCAATTGTTATCACAGAAGATACAGAATAATCTTGCTTTCTATTAATATAAGATTCTCTATTGTATATGAAACTTTGTTTCAATTTAAATTGAGATTCTGGGGTTCCCAAATATACATGAACACTAGGACTTTGTCATAGTTTGTTATGGACATTGATCTCATATCTAAAAAGGCTGTATTGTTTTGCTTTTTGATAGAAGATCAAAACATAAAAAGTAAAACAGTCCGACCTGATGGAGCATATATTCTCAGAACATCCAAAACAGATGTTTTGATATAGTAACTTTCATATTAATAAATGTTTCAAATTGGTTTTATTAACCTTGATGTTTGCATAGATACTTTTGCCAAGTTCTGGGCGACCATTTTCTGGTGTAGGTCCACACGGGATTCAGGAGGTAGTTAGGGAACAACGAAAATTATTATAAGAATTAACTAGCTGAACCCCTGCAACTACATTGCACAAATGGAAAAACAGTAGAAACGTTATAACTGAAAAGTACCTCATATGTACTACCCTGGAAATATAAATCCACAAAAATGTTGTTTCATGTCGTTCTTTTTCTTCAAACCTGATAGAATGATGGGAATATTCTCTGATCCCAGTCACTATTCTTTGTGAACGCAGAGGTAAACATGTTTATGAAATCGTAATTGAAATATATATTTACCTATACTATTAAATATACTTAAATATACTATTAATGTTCATTGTAGTGGACTATTGTGAGATGTCCTGCTATCCTCCTCAATTTAAAAACCTGAATGCATCACTCTTAATTATAATCGCTGAAAAATGTTTATGAAGGGACACATGTGACAGACGATTGCTGGACATTGTGTTTGTTTATATAAACTCGCTAACCTTCGCATTTAAAAATAGTAAATCTTTGACCTTAAAACCCAAATTTCTATCTTCGTTTCGCCAATTATAACCTCATGGTGCAAAGATATCTTTGTATTGCAAAGCACTTCGCCTTTAAAATGACGTAATGAAGAAATAATGGCAGATAAGCGATTATTCTATATTTTACGATTTTATTACTATCGAGTGTTTACACTATTTAACCGATCAATAATAGCAAGTGATAACGCATTTGGGACCCTGCATATTTAATTTACAGACAAAATCACGAAATTTGGTTCAGCAGGAACCTGAAATTCCTCTCTAGACGAAACCCTTTAGTTTTTTAAATATAAAAAAGATGGAAAGGTGAATCGCGAACACACATATGACTATCTTTTGTACGTTTTCTCTCTGAAATATTTTGCAATGCTCAGTAGAACTAAGTATGCTTCAGAGTGGTGCAGACGTCGTACTATTGAGAGCTTAGGCTTCCGCGGCCGGAGTCAGTAAGTACTTGGCTGTCCGGGTGACGCCACGTCCTATGCACAGATGTCAACTTTTCGGCCGCCATCCTGCGACCTTCCTCATTTGGTCCTGGCCCTCATTTCGCCCTCTCACGAGGGCGAATTATGTGAGCGTGCTAATTGTGAAAAGTATTACGGTTATCTAGCAATAATTAATATTTAAAATTAATCGTATAACTAAAACTGACTTTATGTATTCACAGCCTTTAATACGCTTTGTGGTACTATGTATCTGAATGACTTCTATCATTATTTTCCACAGAAACAAAGTTACTTATCAATAAAGTCTTTCAACGTCGCAATTTACAATTATCGATTTTCGCAAAATTAATTGACGCAGCAGAAAAGTTAAGAGTACATAACATTTACAGTTCATATCGGTTAACCCAATGGTTTAGTTGAATGTAATATGGCATTTATATTAAGAAAATAGTGTTTTATAAAAAAACATTTTTCACACTTTATTAATTTTCCGATCCTCTAATGACATATGACTTCAAGAATATCATAGAAGAGAAGATTGTTTTATACCCAAATTTTGATTGACAATTTGGAACCGGTTTTGAGAAAAATGTCTTATGTGAGTTTCTCTAAGTGCGCAATTATGAGCTCATTTTCACAGAACACTTTCGGGTTTTCGAGGTTTTTCATAAAAAATAATTTCAAGCGCATATACACAGTAATAATTGGGAAGATTAAATTTCATTTGGAGAAAAAAATCTGATTTTTAATAATGGAGTTGTACGAGGGGTCTAATAATTACAAACTATATTAATTTTCAAAAAATCCTGATATAACCGTGAAAATCGGACATGTACCATACCTATACTCGTAAGTATATTTCACAGTAATCTGTCGAGACATTTAAAGAAAATAATTTGGAGCCATTTGAAGAAAAGTTTGAAAATGTCTCAGGAGCTTTATGTGAAGTACCCAAAAACTGAAGAATTATTTTCAAAATCTGAGGCCACGAATTGGACCAGATCGATCAGGGAACATTAAATTTGGAAAATATCCTACAAATACTTCAGGAGGTTCTACTTATTTAACTATTTTGCGAGAATCTATGTCAATTTTACTTTAAAAATTAAACTACGATTTAAGACTGTTAAAGAATGTAGAGCTACGGAGTCAATGATAAGTATTTTTTTACAATAAATGTAATATTATAACAAATTATGTTGGATAAACAATGTGTGAGGTAATTTGCTTGTGAAAAATCGACCTGAAATGGTTATGCGTTTTTTTAAGTCAAAGTATGTCTAGCTTGTTTTTATTTTCATTATTTACAACCCAAACCACGTTAATGACATAATTATGGCGTTACGAAAAGTATACGCAATGTTCTTACAACGTACACTTGGCCGACGGCGCATTATCCTAGATGACCACGCAATGAGCCAACGAGGAATGTTGATATGATAAGACTTAATTTTACTCCACTCTAATGACGTCAAACGTATGGGCGATATGGAAAGGAGATTTGATTCACCCATTGCGACACTTCAATATTATGACGAAAAGCATACGCAATTATTTCTCAAGTGATTTCAACTAGCCATCCTGCTAGGTACTTTCTCGGTAATGGTTCAATTTGCAGTCGTTTTTCCTCTAACTGTAACTCGAAAATGTTGTACTAATTGTTATTTTTTAGAATCCAAATATTGCACGAGTTTTACAATGCTTTTAAAATCATCAATCAATCAAATTAATTTTTTGCGAGCCCACGCCAAAACACCCTAACTTTATTACAGTCCGATTAAGCGTTTTTATATGTAATTAGTATATTCCTTGGATTTGTAATTTTTGAAAACCATGAATACTTTTTTGTTGCTATAGCTCTAATTTTTATTATAATATTCACATATTCCAATTAATCATTCTGATACTGAAATGTTTCTTATTAAGATTGATTGCAAGGCTGAAAGTGCCTTTCCTTAATAACGGTTAACTCTATTACATTGATAGCTTTTTTTTTCAATTTATTTAAGCATACCCTAGGACCTTGGGAAATACAATTTAACAATACATATATATTTAATCGAAGTGATAAAGTTTTAAAATAAATTTTGAAATACATTGTGTTTTAGTGAAGTTAATTTATTATTTGGTTACAAATCACACGTAACTTTTTCGCATATTCTACCATGTTCTTTCGTGAAAATAAATAAATAATTACTTCTGTGACAGGTTTTTCGCCTCTGGATTTCAGAAGTCAAAACTATAAATTAATGATTGTCTGTACGTAATAATAATAATAATAATAATAATAATAATAATAATAATAATAATAATAATGATCAAAACTGCCTAATAAGGGGCTATTAATATGCAGTAGCCATATTCAAAGTAGTATGTGAGAGATATACTTTCCCATTAAATTGATATAGAAAATAACAAAACACCATATATAGACTGTAATCATTCCGATACTAATTGTGTTGTCGAAAGGGAATTAATTGCATTTCACAGGTTTGCACAAAAAAAACTTTATAATAATCTTGAAATTTATTGTACACAAAGTTTGCCGGTCCGGATTGCTGAGATCGCTAAGGAAGTAGTGCCGTAGCGATCTCGGACCGAAGGATCGCGGGTTCGAGTCCCGCCTCGGGCGTGATTGTATTGTGTTCGTCCTTTCACACCCCTATCATCATCATATCGTGTCATAGTTACCATACCGTTACA